GGTTATTTCTGAAGGTGTTTTCACACTTACTAAAATCATACATTTTCTCCTCAAAGTGAGACCTGTGTGCCCTAATGGATAAATCTTCAAGGAAAGCTCTTCCTACTGGATTCCATTCATGAATCTTGGCTCCCCTGACAATTTTATTATGTATATAATGTGCATTGTTCTAATTGCCAAGCTCTGTGTTTTACTTAAGCTCTGTTTGAGTTCTCCCATGTGGTGAAACATATTGGACATTCTGCCACAGGACTCTATCATATTCATTGTCTTTATATGTTTTTTAACAATTGTTTAAGTCCGGATTATATTTCAAGATATTTGAGTCACATTTTGGGAAATAGTTTCTCATGGAATCTCCCTGTGAAGGCACAAACTTTGAGCTAGGTTTAGAGTTGTTCCTCATTTTGTGATATTTATAGATTTTAACTAGAAATATGTCTTTCTCATGGGAAACTGCAACTTGTGTAACATTTTGCTTTCTCTGCTTGCACAATTCCTCTATTTTGTGGACTTTACAGTCTTCTAATGTGGAGGGCCACACATTACTGCTCATGAGACATACTATGTTCTCATCATGAAATGTTCTTTTGGCAAAAATGTCCTGTGGAGGGATTATGTCTTTGGTGTGATGTTGTGTCACCAATCTGAAAGTGGTAGAAAAGTTAAAAATAAAAGTGGGTCAGACATGATAAAGGTAGGCAATGCCTTGCAGATTTCTTTCTTTCTTTCTTCCTTTCTTTCTTTTTTTTGAGACAGAATCTTACTCTGTGCCTGGGTTGAGTGTCATGGCATCATAGCTCACAATAACCTCAAACTCCTGGGCTCAAGCAATCCTCTTGCCTCAGCCTCCCAAGTAGCTGGGACTACAGGTGTCCACCACAACACCTGGCTGGTCTTTTTCTACTAGATGGGGTCTCACTCTTGCTTAGGCTGGTCTTGAACTTGTGAGCTCAAGAAATCCACACATTTCAGCCTCCCAGAATGCTAGGACTACAGGCATGAGCCACCTTGCCTGTTCCCTTGCAGATTTCTTTTCACATGTTCACAAAATGTCTGAGAATATGTGAAAGGGAAGAAAGTGAGAGTAAATGAGCAGAGAAAGGTATTAGAGATTTGGGCTGTGGAAGGAATTGGCTTTTGGTAAGGTCAGGGGTTCAGTAAGGACAGCATGTTACTAAGAAATGGTTCTGCAGATATCAAGGAAATAATTGGGATTGCCAAGTGGAAGAAAATTGGACAAATAGTCTATGTCTCA